TAAACATTTTATCCCCAAAATATTTTTCTCTATCGTTTTTAGTTTTTGAATTATGACGTACTCTATTAACAAAAACACTCAATTATGATATTTTGGGGATTTCTACCTTGCAACTAGAATATGGTTACATCTACGCTCATCTGATTATGGATTATGATTTCTAGGATCGTTATAAACAATTTATTTCTGAAACATTTTTCTCCGATGCTTTTACATTTCGAGTTATGATCTATTTTAACAACAAAAACGTGCAATTTTGATATTTTGTTGATTTCTAGCTCCTAAGTAGGATATGGTTACAACTATTATGGATTATGTTTTATTAGATCATAATAAACATTTTATCCCCAAAATATTTTTCTCTATCGTTTTTAGTTTTTTAATTATGACGTACTCTATTAACAAAAACACTCAATTATGATATTTTGAGGATTTCTACCTTGCAAATAGAATATGGTTACATCTACGCTCATCTGATTATGGATTATGATTTCTAGGATCGTTATAAACAATTTATTTCTGAAACATTTTTCTCCAATGCATATACATTTTGAGTTATGATCTATTTTAACAACAAAAACGTGCAATTTTGATATTTTGTTGATTTCTAGCTCCTAAGTAGGATATGGTTACAACTATTATGGATTATGTTTTATTAGATCATAATAAACATTTTATCCCCAAAATATTTTTCTCTATCGTTTTTAGTTTTTGAATTATGACGTACTCTATTAACAAAACCACTCAATTATAATATTTTATGGATTTTCCTTGTAACTAAAATATGGTGACAATTCCGCTGAATCCAGTTATGGATTATGTCTTCTTCGATCATTATAAACATTTTATCCCCAAAATATTTTTCTCTATGGTTTTTATTTTTTGAATTATGACGTACTCTATTAACAAAAACACTCAATTATGATATTTTGGGGATTTCTAGCTCCTAAGTAGAATATGGTTACAATTATTATGGATTATGATTTATTAGAATTTAATAAACATTTTATCCCCAAAATATTTTTCTCTATCGTTTTTAGTTTTTTAATTATGACGTACTCTATTAACAAAAACACTCAATTATGATATTTTGGGGATTTCTACCTTGCAACTAGAATATGGTTACATCTACGCTCATCTGATTATGGATTATGATTTCTAGGATCGTTATAAACAATTTATTTCTGAAACATTTTTCCCCGATGCTTTTACATTTTGAGTTATGATCTATTTTAACAACAAAAACGTGCAATTTTGATATTTTGTTGATTTCTAGCTCCTAAGTAGGATATGGTTACAACAATTATGGATTATGTTTTATTAGATCATAATAAACATTTTATCCCCAAAACATTTTTCTCTATCATTTTTTGTTTTTGAATTATGACGTACTCTATTAACAAAAACACTCAATTATGATATTTTGGGGATTTTTACCTTGTAACGAAAATATGGTGACAATTACGTTGAATCCAGTTATGGATTATGTCTTCTTCGATCATTATAAACATTTTATCCCTAAAATATTTTTCTCTATCGTTTTTAGTTTAAGAATTATGACGTACTCTATTAACAAAAACACTCAATTATGATATTTTGAGGATTTCTACCTTGCAACTAGAATATGGTTACATCTACGCTCATCTAATTATGGATTATGATTTCTAGGATCGTTACAAACAATTTATTTCTGAAGAATTTTTCTCATATGCTTTTACATTTTGAGTTATGATCGACTTTAATCGGGCATGTATCAAGAATAGCATTGTGGCCTAAAAATCGATTTTTTTTTAATCGATAGGAAATGATGCAAAAGAGGTGTTAATAATAAAAAAAAGTGCGGAAAAGTGTAGTACTTACCGAAGAATCACTTTGAAGTTGCGATTTGACGATCCGTTTTGTGAGGTTATAAACAATCTTCACCATGCATTTTCGTATTAAATCCTAACCTCGAATTGCTTAATTTATATCCACGCACAAAATAAAAAGTTACTTTCACTAAACTTATTGAGATTACAACATATTTTCAGATGAAAACATAGTTTCTTAGGATATCGATGCATAACAACAATTACCTGTCGTTAGATAGAATTGTTTCTACCAAATGTCTATTAATAGACTTTGTTTGTCAATTGATGTGTCAAACAACTGAAATATCTTTATGTTGTAAATATAAATGATAAATAAGTTTAGTAGCTTATTTAACAGTAGTTTACTTAAATTAAAATAGTTATTAAAAAAGACATGTATATACATGGTTACAAAATAAAAATAAATAAATAACCCGTGAAACGATAGCAACAAACCTTCCAACAACAAACTTTTACCCGTAATTTCCTATCTACTTTATTAGCTGATATCTTTCTTATTATTAAAGATAGAGGAAAGCTAAATGCACCATTTGAAAGCTTGATTCTTTCTCTATAAAATCGTCGGTCTTCGTTTCCCGATATGTTGATATTGAGATCAATAAAAGATGAAGAATTAATCGTATTTATTTATTTTTATTTTGTGACCTGTCTTTTTTAATAACTATTTTAATTTAAGTAAACTACTATTAAATAAGCTACTATACTTACTTATCATTTTTATCTTTACAACATAAAGATATTTCAGTCGTTTGACACATCAATTGACACAATCTATTAACATAAAGTCTATTAATCAGCGTTGCCAACCTATGCAGAGCAAATGTCGGTAGAATTAATGGTAAAAAATCGGTAAGTTCAAATACAAAGTCTGTTCAAAATGCTGTTTGGTGAAAGTTTATAAATGAATTTATATACATATACAGGTGTCCCATATCGCCCGCATCAGAACATTGTACCGAGTGGTTATTATAAAACCATTTCGAAAAATTTTTATTAGAAAAATCGCTTCAGAATAATATATCCTGTATATAAGCTATGAGTTACACACGGGAGGTTGAATTTTTAAAAAATCTTAAGATACCTTGTTGAATGTTCGATTAAGATTATTGTTTTTCGGGATCGAACCCATTGGCAAGCTGTTCATGGTAGCACTTTGGAATCGGAGCTTGCTATAAGAAAACTTTTATAACAAAAGTTGTAGTAAATTTTATTGTTAACAATATTGCTCTCTTGCACTTTTACTCTTAGATGAGTCAATATTGAGATAAATACGAAAATATGAAAATTTGATGAATTTGTTGCTCTTTCAAGTTATTAAAGGTAACACTTGGGAATCGGAGCATGTTATAAGAAAACTTTTATAACAAAAATTGTTGCAAATTTTATTGTTAACAATATTGCTCTCTTGCATTTTTGCTCTTAGATGCGTCAATATCGAGATAGATACGAAAATATGGAAATTTTATGAATTTGTTGCTCTTTCAAGTTACTAAAGGTAACACTTGGGAATCGGAGCATGCTATAAGAAAACTTTTATACCAAAAGTTGTAGAAAATTTTATTGTTAACAATACTGCTCTCTTGCACTTTTACTCTTAGATACGTCAATATCAAAATAGATACGAAAATATGAAAATTTTATGAATTTGTTATTCTTTCAAGTTATTAAAGGTAACACTTTGGAATCGGAGCTTGCCATAAGAAAACTTTTATAACAAAAATTATTGCAAATTTTATTGTTAACAATATTGCTCTTTTGCACTTTTACTCTTAGATGCGTCAATATCGAGATAGATACGAAAATATGAAAATTTGATGAATCTATAGCTTTTTTAAGTCATTAAAGCTAATACTCGGGAATCGAGGCGTGTTACAAAAAAACTTTTGCAATAAAAGTTGTAGCTAATTTTATTGTTAACAATATTGATATAGATCTATTTTGATAATATTATATTTTGAACCGCGATAGCTTTTAATAATATGTTATTATGGGTATTTTTCGACAATTTTTTTCCAAAATTTATTATAATAGAATAAATTAATTAAATCTTACCTTCAACATAAAGATTCCTTCTCCCACCAATTAATTTTTGAAACTTACCTTNACTTTGGAATCGGAGCTTGCTATAAGAAAACTTTTATAACAAAAATTGTTGCAAATTTTATTGTTAACAATATTGCTCTCTTGCACTTTTACTCTAAGATACGTCAATATCGAGATAGATACGAAAATATAAAAAGCTTTTTTAAGTTATTAAAGCTAATATTCGGGAATCACAACGTGTTACAAAAAAACTTTTGCAATAAAAGTTGTAGCAAATTTTATTGTTAACAATATTGATATAGATCTATTTTGACAATATTATATTTTGAACCGCGATAGCTTTTAATAATATGTTATTATGGGTATTTTTCGACATTTTTTTTCCAAAACTTATTATAATAGAATAAATTAATTAAATCTTACCTTCAACATAAAGATTCCTTCTCCCACCAATTAATTTTTGAAACTTACCTTTAATTAAATTATTTTTTCGGGAAAACAGAAAGGAATAAAAAATAAAACACCCCTATTTTTTTTTAGTTATGTGATGTTTTTATTTTGTGTATTTTTTTTTAGATTTTGGAATGTTTATTATGAGACTGCCTACCATGGCACAGATCTGATCTTTAATAAAACGAAGAGCGCAAGCGCACAAGGCTTAAAGCATCGCCTCCGGTCGCTTTTTTTTATTAATTCTTTTAATTTGGAAATGAAAAGAATTTTATCATTATTGTTATGTATTATTATGTAAATATTTACAAGATTCAACCGGAATCTTGTGCGCGCGCGCCCCCGAATTCATTATTTGGTAAATTAAGTATTGCAATGTTATTATTGCCTGTAGCCATTAAAACATGGACCGTACAAGATATAAATTAGGCACCAGTAAATTCGCTATAATTTTTTTTTTTCGAAATTTGCATTGTTTTACATTCTCGGCTCATTCACTCGCGATTTCGGCGCAACGACGAGTTTATTCGTTTACATTTTTATATTATCAACATTTACGTTTGAATACTTTTTTATAAATAGTAGTAAAAAAATATCAAAAAGCGTTAAAAAAATTCACATCAACGTTACTTTTTTCTTTTAATTTTTTTTTCATTATAGGTGCCTAAAAATCAGTTATAATTATAATAATAATAAAACTCATACGCATTCATTCGCACTCAATCACTCTATTTCTACATCGGTTTTGTTAAAAATATAATAAAAAAGGAAAAAATAAATAAGTTTAAATTTACAAAAAGGAAATTAATTAAAAATAATAATACAACCCCTACGAGGGGTTTCAAGGAATAATTTTTAGGGGGGGGACTTAACGTGGTAATTTGTACACAAAATAGAATAATACATCAATTATTATCGATTAATTAATTAATTAATAACATTTTCGATTTTCATTTAATTCTTTTTTTTAAATATAAATTAATTACTTTTAATTTAAAGTCCATTGCTCGTTTAAAGCGTTTGATTACACATAATACACAAATACTGACTGAATCTATACACTGGGTTTTTTTTCTCGGTCGAAAAAAAATTATTTCGTTTACAATTAATTTGAATTTCGACGACGTGACGTTCGATTTAATTAACTTTATGCCGGACAATTAATCAGCTGCTTGGTTTTAAACATTCGTTTGGCTTTCGCCGGCAGCAGTTTACACAGATCGTCAACTACGGAAGTAGAGGTGATTCTACTATCGCACATCGGTATAAAATATTCATATTTCTTCTTGTGCCTACGACGGTTATTCGAGACGTTCAGCGTGTTGTTTTGCACCTTCAATTTTATTTCGCCCGTTTTTTCTTCATCGATGACTTCGTCGAATAAACACAACTTGGCCGGGTTCGGTATTTTCTACAAAAACAACTTTACCACAAAAAATTACAATTAATATTCAACTTACTTTTGGTATAAACCGTTTGCGTTTTTGGGGCTTTGTTGAGTTCGTAGACTTGATGGGCTTTGTTGGCTTCGTGGCGCAAATGAACATTTTCGCCTTCGGGTCGAATAAATAAAATTGCGCCGATCTTTTCGCGCCGTTTATTGTATATAATAAATCTACACAACAAAATTATGTATATAACTAATAAATATATTGGGATCAAAAATAACTTACGATCACTATCACTAACTGTTGTAACTAAAGTATTATTAACAATCGCCAAATATCCTTGTGCCGCCGAACTAATAAACTTCTTCAACTTAATGTTTTTGTTGTTGCAGCCTGGTTCGTGAGTACTTAGCGCTGGCGCCATAATTGGGGACTAAAATGAATCAAAAAAGTTATGGTGAGTTTTAAAATTTGATTAATTCTGATTATTTGCTTTAATTCATACAATTCGATAGGATTTTCAATTTTATATTTTAATTTAATTCTTAATAACATTGATCTTTGACACTTTTCCTCTCAAATGCATAAAATTCGAGAAGGTGATGGTTTTACACCTCGTTTTACAAAAAAGTTTTGATATAAAAGTTGTAGCAAACTTAATTCTTAACAATATTGCATTTTACATTTTTGCTCTTAGATGTATAAATATCGAAAAAAATTCGAAAATGTGAAAATTAGATGAAATCGTCATTTTACGCTTTATTGTAGGTAGAGCACGGGAATTAGAGCGTTTTAGAAAAAAAGTTTTAATATAAAATTTGTAGCAAACTTTATTCTCAACAATATTGCTCTTCTGCACTTTTGCTCCCAGATGCATAAATATTGAAAAAAAATGGAAAATGTGAAAATTAGATGAAATCGTCATTTTACGCTTTATTGTAGGTAAAGCACGGGAGTTGGAGCATTTTAAAAAAAAAGTTTTAGTAAACTTAATTTTTAACAATATTGCTCTTTTGCACATTTGCTCTCAGATGTATAAGTATCGAGAAAATTTCAAAAAAAGTTAAAATTCGATGAAATCCTCATTTTTTGCTTTATTGTAAGGTAGAGTAGGTAGAGCTCAGGAATTAGAGCGTTTTAGAAAAAAAGTTTTAATATAAAAGTTGTAGTAAACTTAATTCTTAACAATATTGCTCTTTTGCACATTTGCTCTCAGACGCATAAATATCGAGAAAAATTCGAAAATGTGAAAATTAGATGAAATCGTCATTTTATGCTTTATTGTAGGTAGAGCTCGGGAATTAGAGCATTTTAGAAAAAAAGTTTTAATATAAAAGTTGTAGCAAACTTAATTCTTAACAATATTGCATTATATACTTTTGCTCTCAGATATATAAATATCGAGAAAAATTCGAAAATGTGAAAATTAGATGAAATTGTCATTTTACGCTTTATTGTAGGTAAAGCTCGGGAATTAGAGCATTTTAGAAAAAAAGTTTTAATATAAAAGTTGTAGCAAACTTAATTCTTAACAATATTGCTCTCTTGCACATTTGCTCTCAGATGTATAAGTATCGAGAAAAATTCAAAAAAAGTTCAAATTACATGTAATCGTCATTTTACGCCTTATTATAGGTAGAACACGGGAATTGGGACATTTTACAAAAAAAGTTTTAATATAAAAGTTGTAGTAAACTTAATTCTTAACAATATTGCTCTTCTGCACTTTTGCTCCCAGATGCATAAATATTGAGAAAAATTCGAAAATGTGAAAATTAGATGAAATCGTCATTTTATGCTTTATTATAGGTAGAGTTCGGGAATTAGAGCGGTTTAGAAAAAAAGTTTTAATATAAAAGTTGTAGTAAACTTAATTCTTAACAATATTGCTCTTTTGCACTTTTGCTCCTAGATGCACAAATATCGAGAAAAATACAAAAAAGTGAGAATTCGATGAAATCCTCATTTTACGCTTTATTGTAGGTAAGCTCGGGAATTAGAGCGTTTAGAAAAAAAGTTTTAATATAAAAGTTGTAGTAAACTTAATTCTTAACAATATTGCTCTTTTGCACTTTTGCTCCCAGATGCATAAATATCGAGAAAAATACAAAAAAGTGAAAATTCGATGAAATCCTCATTTTACGCTTTATTGTAGGTAGAGCTCGGGAATTAGAGCGTTTTAGAAAAAAAGTTTTAATATAAAATTTGTAGCAAACTTTATTCTCAACAATATTGCTCTTCTGCACTTTTGCTCCCAGATGCATAAATATCGAGAAAAATTCAAAAAAAGTTAAAATTAGATGTAATCGTCATTTTATGCCTTATTATAGGTAGAGCACAGGAATTGGAGCATTTTAGAAAAAAAGTTTTAATATAAAAGTTGTAGTAAACTTTATTGTTAACAATATTACTCTTTTGCACTTTTGCTCCCAGATGCAAAAATATTGAGAAAAATTCGAAAATGTGAAAATAAGATGAAATCGTCATTTTACGCTTTATTGTAGGTAGAGCTCGGGAATTGGAGCATTTTAGAAAAAAAGTTTTAATATAAAAGTTGTAGTAAACTTAATTCTTAACAATATTGCTCTTTTGCACTTTTGCTCCCAGATGCATAAATATCGAAAAAAATTGGAAAATGTGAAAATAAGATGAAATCGTCATTTTACGCCTTATTATAGGTAGAGCTCGGGAATTGGAGCATTTTAGAAAAAAAGTTTTAATATAAAAGTTGTAGTAAACTTAATTCTTAACAATATTGCTCTTTTGCACTTTTGCTCCCAGATGCATAAATATCGAAAAAAATTGGAAAATGTGAAAATAAGATGAAATCGTCATTTTACGCCTTATTATAGGTAGAGCACGGGAATTGGAGCATTTTAGGAAAAAAGTTTTATTATAAAAGTTGTAGTAAACTTAATTCTCAACAATATTGCATTGTACACTTTTGCTGTCAGACGTACAAATGTCGAAAAAAATTCGAAAATGTGAAAATTAGATGAAATCGTCATTTTACGCTTTATTGTAGGTAGAGCTCGGGAATTAGTGCGTTTTAGAAAAAAAGTTTTAATATAAAAGTTGTAGCAAACTTAATTCTTAACAATATTGCTCTTTTGCACTTTTGCTCCCAGATGCATAAATATTGAGAAAAATTTGAAAATGTGAAAATTAGATGAAATCGTCATTTTAAGCTTTATTGTAGTAGAGCTCGGGAATTAGAGCATTTTAGAAAAAAAGTTTCAGTATATAAGTTGTAGTAAACTTAATTCTTAACAATATTGCTCTTTTGCACATTTGCTCTCCGATGTATAAATATCGAGGAAAATTCAAAAAAAAGTTAAAATTAGATGTAATCGTCATTTTATGCCTTATAGGTAGAGCACGGGAATTTGAGCATTTTAGAAAAAAAGTTTTAGTATATAAGTTGTAGTACACTTAATTCTTAACAATATTGCTCTTTTGCACATTTGCTCTCAGATGTATAAATATCGAGAAAAATTAAAAATTAGATGTAATCGTCATTTTACGCTATATTGTAGGTAGAGCACGGGAATTAGAGCGTTTTAGAAAAAACGTTTTAATATAAAAGTTGTAGCAAACTTTATTCTTAACAATATTGCTCTTTTGCACATTTGCTCCCAGATGCATAAATATCGAGAAAAATACAAAAAAGTGAAAATTCGATGAAATCCTCATTTTACGCTTTATTGTATGTAGAGCTCGGGAATTAGAGCGTTTTAGAAAAAAAGTTTTAATATATAAGTTGTAGTAAACTTAATTCTTAACAATATTGCTCTTTTGCACATTTGCTCTCAGATGTATAAATATCGAGAAAAATTAAAAATTAGATGTAATGGTCATTTTACGCCTTATTACAGGGAATTGGAGCATTTTAGAACATTTTTTTAACAATATTGCATTGTACACTTTTGCTGTTGAATGCTAAATATCGAGAAAAATGAGATGAAATCGTGGTTTTATTTGTGGGAGCTATCTTGGCATAGGTGTCACATCTGGACATCTCAATTTCGCATTTTGAAATTCCCAACACTCGCAATGTGTCTATGTATATACATTCTGTGTAGATAAGTGTACGTCACATCGGTTTTAATTGATCACGCAAATTAATAACAGATTCATCGCGAAACTCTCGGGCGCCGCCAGATTTCCGTAGGCGGAATGGCGCCGTTGAAATATCATCGTTTCACATCTGAAATGAGAGAATTTCTTGTTAAGTCAACACGCATCGCGACACGTGTTTTATTTTGAATGTGCTTCGATCTTAACAAAATGAGAGCGGTTGCATAAACTTTTTTATTATTTTTGGCTTTGTAGTGCCGCTAATTCCTAAATTCCAATACGTTGTGGGAATTCGATAAGGAATAAAAATTAGGTTATCGTTACAAAACAACTCTATATTTACCGATTTTAAATTACAAATTTAAGATAATTTTTTAATCGTGTTTTTAATCAATAAAACGTTTATCGAAAATTAAATAAATAATTCTAATATTATTTATTTGCTTCCTTATTTAGAGTTTCATAAGTAGTTTGAGAATGGCGCCAGAATCCACTTTCTAAACAAAATATTCCATCTCTCCGTCATTGAGTATCTCCAATAACTCTGCTTAGACTGTATATTAATAGACTATATAATTTATTCATCAAGCAAAAAATTGTATATACACATTTACCACTAAATTTGCACATTTACCATAATATATATCATCAACGAATCCTATTGGAGACTTAAAGTTTGATACATCATGATTATTGCCACGAAAATTTACCCATAATTATAATTTAGTGAATGGGATAGAAGTTACAAGTTAAAGAATGAAGATATCTTTAATTTTTGTTGCTTTTGGGGTTTTTATTACAAAATCTTCTTTATCTCGAGAATGCTTTGTGGTAGAATAAAAATGAAAAGAACCTTTTTGACGTAAAATACTTCAAGAAATTTAAAAATGTTCTCAAAATTATTAAATAGTCATTGGCGTAGAAGTTACAGGTTAAAGAATGAAGATATATTTAATTTTTGTTGCTTTTGGGGTTTTTATTACAAAATCTTCTTTATTTTGAGAATGCTTTGTGATAGAATAAAAATGAAAAGAATCTTTTTGACGTAAAATACTTCAAGAAATTTAATAATGTTCTCAAAATTATTAAATAGTCATTGGCGTAGAAGTTACAAGTTAAAGAATGAAGATATCTTTAATTTTTGTTGCTTTTGGGGTTTTTATTACAAAATCTTCTTTATCTCGAGAATGCTTTGTGATAGAATAAAAATGAAAAGAACCTTTTTGACGTAAAATACTTCAAGAAATTTAAAAATGTTCTCAAAATTATTAAATAGTCATTGGCGTAGAAGTTACAGGTTAAAGAATGAAGATATCTTTAATTTTTGTTGCTTTTGGGGTTTTTATTACAAAATCTTCTTTATCTTGAGAATGCTTTGTGCTAGAATAAAAATGAAAAGAACCTTTTTGACGTAAAATACTTCAAGAAATTTAAAAATATTCTCAAAACTATTAAATAGTCATTGGCGTAGAAGTTACAGGTTAAAGAATGAAGATATCTTTAATTTTTGTTGCTTTTGGAGTTTTTATTACAAAATCTTCTTTATCTCGAGAATGCTTTGTGATAGAATAAAAATGAAAAGAGCCTTTTTGACGTAAAATACTTCAAGAAATTTAAAAATGTTCTCAAAATTATTAAGTAGTCATTGGCGTAGAAGTTATGGGTTAAAGAATGAAGATATCTTTAATTTTTGTTGCTTTTGGGGTTTTTATTACAAAATCTTCTTTATCTCGAGAATGCTTTGTGATAGAATAAAAATGAAACAAAACCTTTTTGACGTAAAATACTTCAAGAAATTTAAAAATGTTCTCAAAATTATTAAATAGTCATTGGCGTAGAAGTTACAGGTTAAAGAATGAAGATATCTTTACATTATTACATTATTACAAAATCTTCTTTATTTCGAGAATGCTTTGTGATAGAATAAAAATGAAACGAATATGTCAAGGTATTCAAAAATGTTCTCAAAATTATTAAATAATCGTTGACGTAGATGTTATTGTGTTGGTAAACACTCTCTGTTTTGAGTAAATTTGCTAAAAATCGCTAATATCAATAACACACACTTTTATTAAGCCTTATTTTCGGTTTTGGTAATAAATAATAAAATAATCCTGCTTTTCTAGTGATTAGAAAACTAGAAAAGATAAATAACCGAATTTATTTAGAACACAATGGGCTCTGTTTGCTTATACTTTAGAAAAAAAAATTCTTAACAACATAAATAATATCAGATGAAATTCGATTGACGTACGTTTTATAAAACTGGTGCCAAACAGTCGTTGGGATTATGTTATCTTTTTTTCCGATACCTATAATAATTATATTGTCGCGCACAAACTGACGGGACAAAAATAAATAATGTTTCTTTTTTTAAATTAAAACCCTCATCTTTTCGATAAAACAAACGTTATAAAATCGAACTTACCATTGTCAGGATTACGATAAAAGTTAGCACTATTCTTTGCAGTCGCAATATCCTGAAAAAAATCAAAAAAAAACGAATTAATTTTCACCAATTTAAATTTATAATCTTATAATATTACGTTTCTTTACATTTTTTTTTATTTTTACACTTTTTAATTTAACACACCATTGTTTTCGTGATTAATACAATAAATTTAAATGTCCAATTTAACCCAACAACAAAACAAACTATGTGGATACTAAAAATTCCTGAGTTTTATTCGTTTAAATTTTTTAAAAATTTTTTTTCAGTGTTCAAATAGAAAAAGATCTCGAAAAAGATAAAAAAGGGGAATTTAATTTATAATTAAAAACGCCTGGCGTTGTGCAATCGGAGTCGAAGTGCGTTATTAACGTGAATTACGGTAAGATGAGAAATCCTAAGGAATGTGTAGAGTAGACAGATAACAAGTTCTTTCATAATTAGCACGTTTCGACGTAAACAAACTTTACGGAGCGTTTATTTGCGGATAGTTTCTTGGAATGTCGAGCTTTCATTGTTATCGGATGTATTATTTTAGATTGTTATAAATTTTATTTCTAAATAATAAGATATAGAAAAATATAGCTTTATTAAGACGAGGTCGCTTTCGGCCGAGGCGCTACATTTATTATGGTCGCTAAAAAAAGCTTGAATCGGTTAAAAATAAAGCTTTAATCCTCTATATATTAGAGATAAATTGAGATATTTTCATGGATGATTTATTGAAATAAAGCTTAAAGAACGACGATTTTAACGTGATAAAACTTATTTTAATCCAATATTTGAAACGGTTATTACCAAGTTATATTTTAGAACCTGAAATATTTAAAAACAAAACTAAGTTTGTTATTCTATATCATTTGGATTGCTTGAGATATCTTGATGGTTCATATCTTGTCGTATATCGTTTTTCTTAGTATCTTAAAATCCAGATTAAAAGAAATTGAAGTAAGTTCATGAGATATAACATTTTTCTCCTTTGTAGCGATTTCTCTTTATCGAAAACTTCAACATTGTAACCAACTGGTTACAGTTAAAAGATTGAGAATTGAAATAAATCATATTCGTACCGTTATGCCCCACGCGTGCTGCCGTCTCAACTTTACAAGAAGCCTACATTCTATTGTCTGTCCGTGTAAAACTAATAATTTCCACCTGTACACATGAATCACCCGGGTTTTGTTTATGCGGTGTTGATGGGACGGAGTGCGTGGTCGCCTCCAGTTATACGGATGCTTCTTTTGCAAGTCAAATCTTGGCTACCAGTTGTCCAAGATTGAGCAATCAGCAACCAAACCTTTAAAACGAACCAAAAAGAATAAGAAAAAGACGGAAGAAAAATTAAGAAGTTCAAATCGAACCGTTGTGTTGTGGTTTTCTCGTTGTTCGTTTCTTAATGTCTTCATTTCGGGAACCGGCTATTTAAAAGCGATTAAACGTGAAATTGAGAAGCGTTTTTCGAAAATTGCACACGACCTCCATGTAGAACCTCACGTTATGAGGCCACACGTGTTAACTAGTTTTTAATGTTTTCGTACGGGCTAATGAAGAAATTTAAAAAAAGTTTGCTGAAAAAAATTTATGTTTTGTGAAAACGTTTTCTAAGTGAGAGCTATTTCAATTAGCTTTAAGCTTGAGTCAACATTTGGATAAGTTTTCCTTTCGCGGTTTCTCCTATTCAAAGAGGATTTCCAAAAATAACCTTTTGAGTTGTCCCAAATTACTTGTAACAATTATTTATTAATTAAAAATTAAAAAATTATTTTCGGCGCATTAAAACTACATGAAATTACCTTCGAAATGCTTGTCACTTCATAATGATATCTCAATTAGTTTTTGAGATATGATATTTTTAAATTTGCTCTTTTCCACATAACCCTAATATGTAGCTGAAAAGCTAACTGTAGCTAAATTAACAGAAACTAACATTAAAACAAGGTGAAATTTGCTTTAAAACGCTTCTTAGTTCATCGTGATATCTCAATTAGTTCTTGAGATACGATGCTTTTAAATTTAATCTTCTTTAATCTGTCGGTATGCAATGCTACATTAAGAACATCACTGTAGCCATATTAACAAAAATTAAAAATTTATATTTGACACATTAAAACTATATAAAATTCTCTTTCAAATATTTCTTACTTCATGGTGATATCTCAATTAGTTCTTGAGATATGATATTTTTAAATTTGCTCTAATAGTATATCTATTGTATTGAAAAAAGCTCATCGTTCCCAAATTAACAAAAATTAAAAATCTTTTTTTGGGACATTAAAATAACATAAAATTTGCTTTAAAATGCTTCTTAGTTCATCGTGATATCTCAATTAGTTCTTGAGATACGATGCTTTTAAATTTAATCTTCTTTAATCTGTCGGTATGCAATGCTAAATTAAGAACATCACTGTAGCCAGATTAACAAAAATTAAAAATTTATTTTTGACACATTAAAACTATATGAAATTCTCTTTGAAATATTTCTTACTTCATGGTGATATCTCAATTAGTTCTTGAGATATGATATTTTTAAATTTGCTCTAATATAACCGTATATAGTAGTATACCTCTTGTATTGAAAAGCTCATCGTTGCCAAATTAACAAAAATTAAAAATTTTTTTTGGGACATTAATATAACATAAAATTTGCTTTAAAATGCTTCTTAGTTCATCGTGATATCTCAATTAGTTCTTGAGATACGATGCTTTTAAATTTAATCTTCTTTAATCTGTCGGTATGCAATGCTAAATTAAGAACATCACTGTAGCCAGATTAACAAAAATTAAAAATTTATTTTTGACACATTAAAACTATATGAAATTCTCTTTGAAATATTTCTTACTTCATGGTGATATCTCAATTAGTTCTTGAGATATGATATATTTAAATTTGTTCTAATGGTATATCTGTTGTATTGAAAAGCTCATCGTTGCCAAATCAACAAAAATTAAAATTTTGTTGGGACATTAAAATAACATGAAATTTGCTTTAAAATGCTTCTTAGTTCATCGTGATATCTCAATTAGTTCTTGAGATACGATGCTTTTAAATTTAATCTTCTTTAATCTGTCGGTATGCAATGCTATATTAAAAACATCACTGTAGCCATATTAACAAAAATTAAAAATTTATTTTTGACCCATTAAAACTATATGAAATTCTCTTTAAAATATTTCCTACTTCATGGTGATATCTCAATTAGTTCTTGAGATACGATGCTTTTAAATTTAATCTTCTTTAATCTGTCGGTATGCAACGCTAAATTAAGAACATCACTGTAGCCATATTAACAAAAATTAAAAATTTATTTTTGACCCATTAAAACTATATGAAATTCTCTTTAAAATATTTCCTACTTCATGGTGATATCTCAATTAGTTCTTGAGATATGATATTTTTAAATTTGCTCTAATATAACTGTATGTAGTAGTATACCTCTTGTATTGAAAAGCTCATCGTTGCCAAATTAACAAAAATTAAAAATTTTTTTTGGGACATTAAAATAACATGAAATTTGCTTTAAAATGCTTCTTAGTTCATCGTGATATCTCAATTAGTTCTTGAGATACGATGCTTTTAAATTTAATCTTCTTTAATCTGTCGGTATGCAATGCTAAATTAAGAACATCACTGTAGCCATATTAACAAAAATTAAAAATTTATTTTTGACACATTAAAACTGTATGAATTTCTCTTTGAAATATTTCTTACTTCATGGTTGTATCTCAATTAGTTCTTGAGATACGATATTTTGAAATTTGCTCTCTTCGCTATAATCTTAATATGTAGTAGTATACTAGTTGTGTTGAAAACCTCATTGTTGCCAAATTAATGGAAATTAAAAATTTATTTTTGACACATTAAAACTACATGAAATTCCTTTAAAAATGCTTGTTACTTCATGATGATATCTCAAATAGTTCTTGAGATATGATATTTTTAAATTTTCTCTTTTCGCCATAACCCTAATATGTAGTAGTATAGTAGTTGTATTGAAAACCTCATTGTTGCCAAATTAATAGAAATAAAAAATTTATTTTTGACACATTAATACTACATAAAATTCTCTTGGAAATGCTTATTTCTTCATGATTATATCTCAATTCGTTCTTGAGATATGATATTTTAAAAATTTGCTCTTTTCACCATAACCTTAATATGTAGTAGTATACTAGTTGTATTGAAAATCTCATTGTTACCAAATTAATAGAAATTAAAAATTAATTTTTGACACATTAAAACTACATAAAATTGTCTTGGAAATGCTTCTTACTTCGTAATGATATCTCAATTCGTTCTTGAGATATGACATTTTTAATTTGCTCTTTTCGTGATAACCCTAATATGTAGTAGTATACCTGTTGTATTGAAAACCTCATTGTTGCCAAATTAACAGAAATTAAAAAATTATTTTTGGCATATTAAAACTATATGAAATTATCTTAAAAATGCTTCTTACTTCATAATGATATCTCTCTTAATTCTTGAGATACGGTATTTTAAAATTTGATCTCAATTCAATACAATATGGTGTGTTATAATTGAATCAGTCAAAATTACCGAGTCTACACCTTTTATATAAATTGTGATATTTTCGTGGTTATGATATGACACGGTTTTATTTACTTTAAAAACTTTCTCCTAAACCTCATAAATTCTTTTCATTCTATTTTTTTTTTTGTTTGTTAAGAATCTTAAACTAAACTTAAAAGAATTACTTTTAAAAGACTTTTATTATTACTTCGAAGAAACTCTAAACGTGATTCTACGGAGCTTGAGCGCCTGAAAGATATGCGAAAAAGCCACGGGCATTTTCAGCCTTATATTTATGCGGGATCACACGCGGTCTACTAACCTAAGATTTAAAGTGAACGTTGTTACTTACTAAGTAAATAAATATTTTGTGTAATCGTGAGTAATCCGTTTACTTTATTTAATCTGATTATTAACAAATTAAAACCGCTAATATGTGGTTAATGAGTAATAACGACGTAATTTATTTAATTTTAAACCGCGCCGTTTAAATTTCTTGA